TTGGTAACCGCTGCACCAATTTCTTCCAAACTTGGCACAGTTGTTGGTCCTGGCACAGCATACCAAATGGCCGAAAATTTCTAAAATCGGACAATAACCACGCCCACATCCCATATAATGGTAATTTCGAGAAATACAAAATCTTCGATAAATCAGTAAATGTTGAAGCTAATTTATTCAAAATTGATGGTTGCAACAACTTTTTACCAAGAAATACGTTTATGACAAAATTTTGGAAAATGGGAGTAGCACCGCCCACTTGTGATCACATATATGTATCTCGCTAACCGTTCTAGCAATTTGTACCAAGCTCGGTATGGTTATTGTGCTTGCCACATAAAAGCAAACCGTTGAAAATTGTTGAAATAGGACTAAAATTGAGGCCGCTTTTCATATAACGGTAAATTTCAGAAATGCTTGAAATTTCAATATTTCGAAATTTAAGGACGCTAATTTACTTAAAATGTATACACCCCGGCTTATCATGTAGCGGTAGCTTTCGGAAAGGTGGAAAACATATATTTAATACTTGCGCCGGGTATTTAATGTTCGGCTCCGCCCGAACTTAGACGTTCTTACTTGTTTTTTATAAATTTTTTTATTTATTTATTTTTCTATTTGGCTTTTCTAAGTTAATATTTACATATGCATACATAGTTATATTTATATAATTGTAATTTTTATTTTATTTTAATACATATTTTGTAATCCGTTATTTGTATTGCGCAATAAAAGTTTAATTCTTAATGCGCTAATGTACTTAAATAAACAAATAAATGAAAATGAAAATGAAAATGAAATTATCAAAATTTAGTAGCATTTCGTTGCACCAAAAATTTGTATTTATCACTCGCCATTTTTCATTTTGCTAACTTTAGCATTATTTTGCTAAATATAATTTTACCTATCATACCAGCGATAAGTTACATTTATTCAGTCTGAATGAATTAATCAATGTTTTAACACGTGATTCGATAAAATATTGACACAAAAAATGCTTCGATTCGAAATACTAAATTTATTAGAGGACAGTCTGCAAATAATAAAAGGCGTGTCATTAAAGAAGAAATCAACTGCAGTTTACATATTGGTCTAGTAGACAAATTTTGCCTATTTCGTAGCCAAATTGAAAAAATTTTATTAGCAATTGAAGCAAACTATAATAATAATGGCATGGTCAAAAGCATGGGGTCCACAAATT